TGGTGTTGTAATTTACCTAGAGCTTATGGACAGATGAAGACTTATGGGGAATTTTGTCTTTAAGTGTATTTTCTGCTAGCCTGGTGCAGATCAGGGACTTCAGTCAGGCTAGTGAGATTTTGATGAATGTGCTGATCACCCACTATTTGCGCTCCAGAGATAAAAAAATCCTTAGTTACTCCTTTCTATCTGAATTAGGACTGCTTGGTTCACTCAATTTGTTCTCTCTGTGGCAAATGTGCAGCATAGCAAAGGGGGAAGCTGCCTCCTGCTCACCCAAATAGTGGGTCTGGCTGCAGTCTGATCTCTCTGGCCTGGGTACCCTCCTATGGACACGGAACCACAAAGGGGAGAGTTTGGTAAATGCCCCGTTGTCTCCAAGACATGAAGTTATAGGAACAAGACATTGCTAGGGTACACACAGCTTCCATGTGCTCCTGGGTCAATTCACACCTCGTGTCTGTAGTTTATAGAGCAGGAACACTCAAGGTCCAGGTTCTGGCTTCAGATCAGGCATCTCATTTCCTGCCTTCTTTCCATGAAAAACTTTCATCCTGCTATACTAAACTTGCCAGCAGTGTTGAGAGATGCAAAACACAGATCATCTAGAATATTGTGTCTGGTCTGAGAAGAAAGAGAAAATGATAATGAGGTATTATAATTTGACTGTTGTGGTGTGTTAAACTATCAAAAGAAGCCCCTTGTCCACACCCCGGTGAAGATGTAAGGCTGTGCCCCAGTCATCCAACTGGTTGCCTCTGGGATGGAAAATATTTCAATGCTATGCTTTGAAAATGTGCAGAAATGTTAATGTGTAGCTGGGGAGGGGTGCATTATCTGCCCTAATCAACAAATTGCCCCCACAGAGGAGTCAAACAGGACATTTTATCTGTGCTTCACAGCTGTGTGAGGAAACAGTCAGAGTGAACACTGTCCACCTCTCATGCAGGAGAATCACACAAACCCCACAGAGGCTATTTCTTACAAATGCTCTTTGAATAGGGCTTACAAAAGCTTTAGCTCATGTGTGGGCCTTCCACCAAGACCTGAATTTCCACCTTGAAGGTTAAATCTGGGTTAGCATGACACCATCTGTCTAACTTACCCATTTTGCTTGATAACATGATGCACTTGCCCAACGTTTTGAATGCTGTGTAGAGTGACTGTAGAGGGAGACCATGAGAGGAAAGTGCTTCTGGGAACTACAGGAGTTTTATGCTGAGTTCTTTAAAGCACATGAGTAACAGTTGCCTGAAATGCTGCTTCCCCATACAAGATAGTAGTTTCTTTAAGCAGAATTTAAATAACATTTATTTCAATAAATACTTTCAGGAAACTTCAGGTTTATAAAGGTAATTTGGTAAAAATTGGAGTTTAAATGAATACTGAAAGGAAAAGATTGACATTCACTATTTTTGAGTACCTTATTCAATGATAAGAATAATCAGGCAAAAATGTTTGGAAGTCTGAAAATTCAGAGATGGTATTCAGTGATTAACTATGTCATCTCCTTTCCTAGTCACAGGTAGCTCCTGGCTGCATTAACAGTTTCATTAAATTCCAGGTGTGCCATCCATCCTGCCCTCTGCCTGCTGGAGCTTTGCCATGGCTCCTCTTCTACTCTGCTCTGGGAACTGAATGCACCGCAGTCTGGGCAGGACTTTTTGGTAAATCTGGTTGCACTACCTGCTGACATCAGGCTCAGACGTTCAGCAGCTGGGAAAAGAGTCAGTTGATCTGCTGGTCTTCTGGTCCCTAGCACAGGTGACACCATACGGGGCAAGTTGTTTTAATTCTGCTATTTTGCTTCATGGATGGGGCAGAGACAAAGTTTGGGAGCTGGGTGTGGGGCCAGAAGGGGAGAAATTTGACAGCCTCTTTACTACTGGAGTAAGTTGAGAAAGATACTTTTTTTCTTTTGTATAAAGTTAAAAAGTCAGATTTATTCTATGAACTTATTTCTAGCTACAACCCTCAGTATAAATGAAAACTTCCCTGTTGTGTTTATAAAACAAATCATATCTACATTGCTGGAAGGCAAAGCCCAATGCTGGCACAGTAACTCGCAAGGCAGGTTGAACCAGTTCAGCACAGCTGAACTTCTGAACCAGAGCTGGATCACATCCCACACTTTGATGCATAGAAGGAGGTAGCCACATGACTTCCCTCACTAGACCACATAAAAACACCCCCAAAGACAGTGTCTGGAGCCTGCTTAGACCTGGGGGGCTGAACATGACAGAGGAGATGTTTCCAGAAGCAGTAGCTAGGTGACAAGC